TTTTCGTAACTTTTACATCAGAACGACCCGACTTCACATCATGCAAAACTAAAAAGGCTTATTACGCATTGCGGCATGCAGACCTCTGTTTTGAAAGAATTCCACAAGTAAAAGCCAACTCACGGTCAAAGTCCGATGTTCTCTTGTCTTGTGGAGAGGTGACAGGTCCCTACCGTCAGAAACACAGGCAGATCCTCCTGGAAATTATAATGGACAGGAACACAGATCCTCCTGGAAATATCCACAGGAACACAGGATAGCTGACAGGTCCCACTGCACAGACAGGAACAATTGGTCAAGTCCCAGGCCACATGTAGTCCAGTAACCTATGGTGTAACAGAAAAACTCATTCAGATAAATCACATGTCAATTTACATACACAGTAATTTATCAGACAACTTCGAGATACATTTAACTATTTTCAATGGTTTTAAAACCATGAGTTGGGACAAGAAACACGAGAACTTACAAAATACCATGACCAAACAACAATCCCATCAAAATGCATCAGAGGTTCATGTAAATACCACATCAAAACATCAGCTACATTAATTCAGTAGGCCCCACGAAGAAGAATGGACGATTCCACTACATCAATGGGCTGACTTCTCCTCACCTGTGGAAAAATATGAAACAATCAAATTATTTTTCTATAATTAAGTATTTCAGAAAACTAGCATTTGTATTATGCTAGACATTTAAGCACTGCAGTCAAGTTACACAACTTTTATCAACAGTGCCCCTTTAAGCACATCAACAACTTAGTTGTCTGTTTGAAACAGAAGCATGTTATTAGTAGAAACACCAGAACATGACAAACAGTAAAGTGTAGTTGGCAAAGGACTCAAGTATTACAGTCTTTTCATGTGTACCATGTTGGATTATAGTGTTTACCGGTATCGTTAAATACGTCAACATGCTACTTAATCTAATCTCCAAGCAGATCCCTTTCGGTGGCAAAAGGACAGTATCAAATTGGCCAGGCAGTATCCATTAGCCAGAAAAGGTCTGCGGCCACCGATGGGATTAGCGACAAAAAACGGCCATATATATAAAAAGCTAACGATCATTCCCCCACAACCTCTGCTTGGAGAGTAACTTAATCAATTTACCCGCCAAAAAACCAACACCTGACCGCCGAGATTCATAATCATATGATAATTACTTTGACAACAAAGAGCATGTATAGACAAATTCCTAGCGACTTCAGCGGAAAAAAGGCACCGCAAACCACGTGTTGAGACACTCGACAGTAGATATTTACCCGTCGAATTTCTCTCAAAAGGACGCCTAACTTGAACCTTAATAGAAGTTTAGCTACTGACCAATATTGTACTGGTGGCGGTGAAAATATACCCAGCTCCCCGGAACACACCACGTGGCACAGGCTTCTCTAGTCCAGACGGGAAACAGACAAAAGCTGCAAGCAAAATTAAGGGGAGGTTTTACCAAAATTTGCCATTGATACAACCTACTACTCGTTTCCTTCTAAGTCCATGTTAGAATTAAAGAATAGGCCGGCTAGGCGGAGGAAAACGTGGAGATATGTTTTCTACACGTGCACTTCCCTTCAGTATTCGGCAAAATAACGTCAAATTCGCACTAAAGCACGGACCAAACTTGATACAGAGACAGAGACGAAGTAAAATATGCCTCACCTCAAAAATTTGGCGTTGCGAGGCTCCAAATACGAATTTTCGGCCAGTTATTCCTCCTCCTTGTTCTCTTCAAGTGCCCAGCCGCCATTTTTGTATTCTGATGATCAGAAATGGCGGGTCCATGGCGCAATGTACGATGGGCAACACAGGTGTTCAATCAGCTGGTTTAATTAGTAAATTAATTAACATATGGAAGTGCATGGATCAAAAGCGACCTCTAGCAGTCCAGTGAGACACTGCAGCATGATGGTGGCTAAGCTGCTGCAGTGATATTTTTTGCCGCCCCGGGGCGCTTTTGATCCATGGCGATTTCAAAATAGCCAAACTCGTGAGGTAGCGTTCTGAGAGCTTTAATAGCCTTTGCCAGGCGTCGGAAGCGACTGGAAAGAGTAGAAATTGGTCAGATAGACCAAGGAGCTTATAGGGAGAGAAAGATGCCACTGTTTTCTGACTTGCAGATTCAAATTTGACAAAGTAGGTGCAGGAGACACACCACACACTCACTGCCTCTGACCTTCTTTCAATATGTCTGTCTCTTTACTTGTATCGACATACATGTATTTACGAAAAAATACAACGTATACTGTGGCAAAACTCTAAATTTACGATCTTCCTAACATCTGTTTGGTTTTCATTTGTCGCTGACAGCGAGTTACATACGATATTCCCTCCTGACATCTGCTTGGTTTTCCTTCCTAACATCTGCTTGGTTTTCATCCAAATGGTAATGTCGCCGACAGCGAGTTAAGTTGCGACCTGCCCTCCTGACATCTGCTTGGTTTTCATTCATCGGTAATGTTTCCGCCAGCGAGTTACGATCTTCCCTCCTAACATCTGCTTGATTTTCATTCAAATGGTAATGCCTCCGACAGCGAAAACTCCACTTCTGCAAGAGCTGAGACCACTTCTGCAAGCGATCAGCTGATCGTAAAATCGCCTTTTGACGTATAACTCGAGAATGAAGCAAATTTGATGGAAGGCATTAAGCAGGAATGTAATATAGGTCACTAGGGGCATACTCTGAAAACAAGAAGGCCGAAAAATGTGAAAATTTTTATTTTTCTAAAGTTGAAAAAGCAGAAATACATCCCCTACCACACCCCCGTTGTCGAGTCGCCGTTCCGAAAAGGCCCGTATCTCGCTAAAGAAGCCTCGCTCATTCCCAGATTTGGCCATTTCGCGAGTGGGGAAACGCGATGGGCTCTTATGGGGGTTTTACTCTAAGTCTTTACTGCACTTGTTCTTGACCTTGAGGCTCATCCCGACTACCTAAATATCATTAATTTACCAAGAAAGAAACGTTTTAGTCTTGCATCTGTTCATTTTAAGACAACCATTCCTACAATGACTTTTACGAACGGCTGAATATGGAGCTTTTTTGGCAATATTTCTGCCATCTTGGTTCTCTTACAAGCAATGTGAAGGTGCCACAATAGTTAGTATGAAGCAGTGTATATATGACTATTCTAAAAGTACTTAGTATCTAATATTTGAAAAAAAAAAAAAAAAAAACTGAAATAGAAACAGCAGAGACTCAATAAACAGTAAAATTTCATTTAATTGTTAAAGAAGAGAATACCTTCAGCAAAATATATATACACGATGTCTGTCTCGCTTACAATTAACTGTTATTCCTTTTCGATTCGGTGGTGAAACTTTTCAAATTGAATATCCAAACTTGAAGATGAAACTAGCTAGTTTCTTGGGCATTCACTCTGAGATTCTTCCATCATGAAAAGGAAAAACTGTTTATTTTAGGAAAGACAGACACTGTAACAGCTGAAGTCAGTCAGATTTATGCAAAGTACAGAGCGTCATCATGCTTGTATCATGAAGAGATAGAAAATGCTAGCATCAGCAATGTACCAAAGCCAGGTCAACCTTCTTGTTAGACTACTACTGTAGCTTGTTATAGAATATTTAAAAAAAATTGTTATGGCCAAGGCAAATTTTGCCATACCACAGCAAATTGAAGACATGCATGGATGTGCCATATGAAATCTTGTCACAGAAAAAGTTGTCATCGATCTTTGAATCTTACAATCTACAGAGGAGCAACTGACATAGACAGATGACCTGACATTGGGCCATACCATTTCAACCACAACAAAACTAGTCTGTTTCCTTCTGGCACTGTCAACTAGTGCTGTGTACCTAAACCCACGTTTAGGTCCTGAGGTTTAGGTTCAGGTCCGGACTTATAAGACCAGACCTAAACCTAGAGCGTTCAGTTTTTTTGGACTTGAACCTAAACATTTTACAAGTCCGGAACTAGTTCCAGCAAACCGGTACACAGCACTACTGACAACACATACTACAGTACAGGACCATTACTGAAGAAAAGCTAGTCAGTTTAGGAGTATATATTACAGAAAAGCTTGCACAAGTTAGGAAAAATTTAAAATAACCGTAAGCAATAATATTAGGAGGATACTAGTACTTGAAGCATGGCTAGGTAAAAAAGATGCACAGATGTGAGATACATGCATAACATAATTCAAGTCGAGGCTTCTATAATCCTGAATTTAATCATGTACTAAAACTGATTAAACTGATTTCTACTCAGTACAATCTATGATTGCCATTAATATTGGTTGTTACAGTATCAGTAGAAAAATACTTTGATGTACAAAACAAACTCAAATCCTCCTCCACTTCCAAAGTTGTCACCCTTTTCGAGTTTGACCAAGTTTGATATGACTGCGGTTGCACCTGTAGATGCAAATTCTGTTTCTTAACTAAATGTTTTTCTTACAAAACATCATGTTTACTTATCAATAACTGGCATGTGCTTTTGAGAATCCGTTCTCTTACGGGTATTTCTTACACATGACGAAAACGGAAATCGACTGCACAGAAAATGGTTAAAATACAGTTGGCAAATCTCAGAAAGTCCATGTACATGTAACACTGGAGATGTGTATTGTTGCTATATAATAACCTAAGAAAGTAACATATCATTGTTTTGCTCATACATTTGGACGTAAGTACACATTTCTCTCTTTCCCAAACAAATCAGTCTACTAGTAGTTATTTAACTACCCTAACACTCATCCAACACATACATTCAACTTGTTGTAGACAAGCATTCGGTTAATCACATACTTATCGTGTTAACTCTTTGGCACAAAAAGTGATGGCTTATTCCTATGTACAAAGGGTAAAAATTAAAAACAAGAGAAGCTTGGTAACAAATGCCCCCCTCCCCACCTCTCACATAGATGTTCCAACATTTCCAGAGTGTGTTCAGTATCCACAAGTTTGCTGTTTCAGTCATGTACTTGACACTTGTTTTGTTTTGCTATACATTTGCTGTTCTTGTTTTATATCCCACACATTTTCAAGTTGGCTCTTATGCTAGCTGCCTTTTGTATATCCTGGATATTAAGAAAATGGAAAAAGGCACTTTTTTTCTGGGGACAAACTTTTGCATAATGAAATCAAAGATGCTTTACATGGAGTCCAGGCATTGTTGTGAACAGTATGTCTTCCCAAAATCTTTTACTGAGGATTTCCACATTGTTTTTCGGTACTTCTCACATTCTGATCTCAGCCCTTTATAAATGACACGTGGGGTATCTTCGTACAATGTATTACAGTCATGTAAGGAAAAAGAAGACTAAAACTGCATAAAAGGGATAAAATCAGTCCTCTATATCAGGGCTAAGGGCACCAATGGGGACACATTTGGTCCAGTCCACACACATATCCTGTCAATGATAGGGTATCAGTTGCTGTAACTCCTCCCCCACACAACTGCCAATCAGAATCCAGTGTCTGTTGTGATGAGCTGTCAATCATTCTCAGTAGATTTCTGTTGCTATGACAACTCCCACTGAGCTGTCAATCATTCTCAGTAGATGTTTGTTGCTATGACAACTCCCACTGAGCTGTCAATCATTCTCAGTAGATGTTTGTTGCTATGACAACTCCCACTGAGCTGTCAATCATTCTCAGTAGATGTCTGTTGCCATGACAACCCCCACTGAGCTGTCAATCATTCTCAGTGGATGTCTGTTGCTATGACAACTCCCACTGAGCTGTCAATCATTTTCAGTAGATGTTTGTAGTGATGACTCCGCCCATGGACCCTGTGTGGTCGTAACGGTGGAACCTGGGCCAGCCAATCAGAGCAAACCATGAGAAGTGGTCGACCAATACGGAGACACTGCTGGCGCCGACCTGGCACTGCGAGTTGTTGTTCATCCCAGGGAGAGTCATGTTTTGCCATTGTGTGGGCTGGCCTGAGAAAACAACAACAAAAACAACAACAATCAGTATGTTATCAAAGACTGGATAATTATGATCCGTGGCGGCAGATGCAGAAGAAAAAAAGTTGGTGAATTATTCGTTTGTGATAATGAAAAATTTGGGATAAAATAAAGAAGTGACTGCCAAAACCACATCAAGTAATCTATATAGAACACTACATGGGGTATTCTGTATCGCCCGAGGTACCAGCCAGACTGTGGGTTGGATTGCCCGAAGGCCAGAGGGAGATCCGATCCACTTGTTTTGATAGCGGCACACTTGGTGCATGTGAAACACGTTCTGAATTATTATATGAAACATTTGGAAGCCTGGGCCGTATCCATGAAGATCCTCCGGCCATACCACTAGTTATCACATGGGCCAGAACACCCGTATTGAATGTAATTGCGGCCCAGGTATGACATAAACAGTAATATTGACCACTTGATTGATGTGCCTACCTGTGGAGGTATCGCTGGACTTGAGAGCGAATGACCAGCCGTCAGGAGTCATGGAGGCACAGTGAGGCAGACGCAGCTCGACGGGCTGCAGGAACTTCAGTCCGTGGGGACCACACATCACTAACGGACTCAGCAGGGTCTCACCTAGGCAGGCAGAAACAAACACACAAATGTTTTAACCCTTGTCCTGCTGGACTTTTTTACACAATATTTTCAAGTGATTTGAAGTCTTAATCAGGTAACAGACCCTTGACTTTTTTGCCCTGCGGTGTGATGCGTTGCACAAGAAACACCCCCAAATTGTACATACACAGGGCACTATATACATGTAGATGGTACTGTATGTGCAACCCATATATATATATGGGTCCCGCAAGACAAGGGATTTATTAAGTTAAAACTTTTCATCTAACACAAAGAGTGGTTCTCACCTAGAGCCTTCAACCAGTCACTCTCAGACTGGTTTTCCTATAAGTAGATCTAGATCATGTGAGAACCTTTTGTGTTGGATCAAAAGTATTAAATTTGACCATGTAACTACCAACATTGATGAACTTTCATGACAAATACAAAAATGTTCAAATGTAGAAGACAGTGCATTATTTATGTATTATATACATGTGGAATTTCAGAAGTACAAATATCTACTGTCCGCTTTTTTTATGGCAATCTTAAACACAAAAGCATCTAGGTAGCTTTGTATCCTTTCTCGTCAACAATTAACAACAACTTTGCTTGGTTGCAATCTTCTGCAATCCCCTTCTTTATCATGCAAGGTACAACACCATCTGTCAGCTGTCAAGGAGGTCATGTAAAAACAGTAAGCACTACCAGATGTAGAAGTGATTAATAAAAAAATTCTCACTCTGGGAAAGACTGAACCCAACCATACCCATTACAACCTGACTTAAGGGCCATGCGGAATCACAGACACAAACAGTCATTGATAACACAAAAACAATGCTGCCATTTTTCATGGAGGTAATAACAGTATTTTTTTATTTTTTTTTCATTCAGAAACACGATGAAACAAATGAAAATACATGGACTAAGTGACTGCAAACTCAAGTTAGGTACAACTTATATTCTCGCAGCCACTTTTACAATGAAAGAAAAATATTTTACAGGACATTTAAAAATACATGAGACCTCGCGTGAGTAACAAACCTCCCATCCCAGAAGACACATACAGTTAGAATCTTTTTGTTTCTAATATATAATTTTGTGCGGCTAACATTATTTTGCAGTTGGTATCATACGAACAAAGGAAACTACCGCGAAGAACTAAATATTGTATAGAATTATCAGAAAGGGTGTTTAAATCAACAATATTACCAAGTATGCTTGAAAGCTTGCCAAAAAGGACTAAGTGCTGGTAGGTATATATAGGGCAGTGCAATAAATAATTGTCATAACAGTATTTTAGCCTGACCTTTATCCTTGTCCAGTGGCGGCAGGATGTTGTTGTCTCGACACACTTTGAAGTAGATCTCCTGTTTGGTGCCTTCTGGAATCGCTCCCTTGGGAATAATGATGCTGACGCCCGTCTCAGCGTTGGACAGCACGCCTCCGTTGGAGTCAAACATGCCGCGTGCTGTCGCTATGACTGTGTGGTTCTCGTCTGGTTCTAGTTCACTGAAAGGCAAAAAAAAAATTGGATGATGTTTCTGCAAATAGTCTTGTGTAAAGAAAACTAACATTGCGTATGTATACAGGATATTCTTGGCATCTAAGTGTCAGAAAAATGATAATATCTTTGTTGTAGTACTTGCTTAAGATTTTGAAGTTAGCTCCCATTTCAGATTCAAGCTCACAAGAGGGGCACCCAAAAAAAAGTTCTGTGCACATGATTTTTAGATTGGGTTTACCAGTGCACCTATTCCCAAAAATTTTAAAAATTACTTAAAAAAGCTATGCACTGAAATGGCATTTTCCATAAGCAAGATATATCTGTTGCTTGAGGTTAGAAGTCTTACCTGGCATGGTCCACCTTTGGATGGTCACCAGACGATGATGTCACCACGGAGTCCGAGGTGGGCACGTGGTCCAGCTGAGTCTTGGGAATTCTCAGGTCATCCAGAGTTCTCCTCCTGAACTCCATGGCGGAGTACACCGCCGGCTTCAGCCCGTCGCGGTACGAGCTGCGGTTATACACGTCCCTTTCTCTCTCAGGCGTCATCTGCAGTCGCGCGGAGTCCGCGCCGTTGTCCCTCCTGTTCTCCGATTGGTTGGACCCGGTGTCTGACACCATGCTGTCGTCGCCCGTGTCCAGTCTCTCGATGACGGGGAGGGTCTTGGTCGGGTAGACGGACGATTGCACCACGTCGCTGCTCGACACGGCCGAGTCCGAGTGAGAAATGTGCGGCTCCGATTTCGTCTTGGACAGCGGGGAGTAGTTCCCGCGACGGGAGTCCATCGTGGGGCCGTTGGACAGTGGCATCTTGGGATACGTGGGGGTTGGGCGCTGGATAGAGTTCGTGCTGTGTGTGTTATTACCGCCGGTGAGACTAGTCTTGCTACCGCGCGACAGCGAGTGCGCGGTCATGCGAGTGAACTTGTAGGGATCGTAGCCTCCCGGACGGTCTCGCGAGGGAGACATGGGTAAGGTACGTCTGTCGTAGGAGGACGGTTGACCGAACGCTGACTTCGGGGACTGGTTGTTGCGATCCTGAGGAGCCAGATATTCTCGAGAAGCGGACAACACTTGCGGAGCTCGATGTACGTGTCTGTCATAGGGCGGGGGCTGGGTCTTTGGACCACCTGTACACAAGAAAGGACAACATCCAGCTTAACCTTCTGCTAAGCACCATAACCAAAACAAATGGATACCTAAGCAGGGTGACGGTTAACTATTTAATGGCTTAAATGTCCAGCTTCAAGTATTTGCATAGTTGGGGAAATGTCACAAACCAACAGGATATTATGAAACAAAGTTTGAACTGTAACTTCAAAGAAGTTGGACACAACTTAGAAGAAATTGGACACAAATTTTTGACTGTGCAACTGCAGTCATTGTAAAAGAATAAGTGAAACCACTCACAGCTACTGTTATATTATTTCTTACAAATTACAGACATGTGACTAGGGATCATTGGGGTGAGTCCATCTTCTTCACCTTTACTAGAAATTACAGTCTATAAAATTTGCTTCAAAATAACTTTTACATATGGCAGATAAACTTCATCTTTGGATTGATTAGGTATGCCAAAATGCTGCGCTACTTTAAAGAATATTAAAATAGAATTTTACTACAAAGATTCAGAATAGTGCTTAAGCACTCCATACCTTCCCCTGTGTCCCGTGGACTGTACCCATTGGTCCTGTGCCCCTGGTCAGTTGGAAATCCCCTCTCCTCCTTCCGTGGATAATTGTCGTAGTTCCCGTAGCCTGTTGGATACGATGGATCTTTCTTCCTGGTGCCCCAGCTGTCGTTGTGCTGACCGTAGTCTCGGTACCGATCGCTGTCTGGCGGCAGCGTGGCGTAAGGCTCGATACTGGAGAAGGAACGCGGATGTCGATTGTTCTCCCTATGCAAACATAAAATAAACAAATTGTAAGCCGTTGTACCCATGACATTTCTGTGTTAGAAATACCTTTTTTCAATGTTCTGCAATATAGCAGAATGTAAAATTTTGTTCTGCAATTCAGAAATACTTTTTGCAAATATACTAAACCCATGGCATATATAAAATTGTATGTTTGCAAACATTTTACATGCAAAATTACTTGTATATTATAGAGTCAGTAGTAAACACAAATGCTTTTAAACACCATTGAACCCCTATCCTAATATTTTCAGTCTGCAAAATTGCTGGTTGCATAATTTTTCTTTTGCAATATTGAAAATGCCTCTGCAAAATGCAGACTGCAGATGGGTATTTCTTACTGTTACTAACCAAACCTATCCCTACCGTGGAAAGCTGTTGTGCCCTGACATGTTGTCCCCTTGTGGATGCCCGTAGGCGTTGTAGTAAGGACCGTGGCTGTCATGCCTGCTGCTGTCAGCAGGGGGCCTCGCTGACCAGGAGTTGTCCCTGCTTCTTGGTGCCTTCTCCGGGGGGAACTGCGGTAGGAGACAATATTAGATCAGCTGATGAGGAACAACAGATGATAAATCGGAGAGGGAGGAAGAGGAAGAGAGAGAGGGGGAGGGAGAGAGAGGGGGAGGGAGGAATGGAGAGGAGGGAGGGAGAGAGG